AAAACATCTCAGGCAGAAGTGGGGGTGCTCCTCACTAGCCTTGATGTCTTTTCCAGGTGAAATCCGGGTCCCCAGCTGTGTTGGCCTTTGAGAAGGAGAAGTCTTTGGGGCTGCCCAGCTTTGTCACATACACAGTTGGCATCTCGGACCCTGTGGCCGGCAGCCAGGGACCCCTGTCCACCACCCTGACCTTCTCCAGCCCCACGACTAGCCAAGCCATCACCATCCCAGTTACCGTGGCCTTTGTGATGGATCACCGAGGGACTGGTCCTTGTGAGTCACGGGTTGGTTCACCAGCTGGGACAAACCTGGGCAGGGAGGGATGAGCTATAGTGGCCCTGGATGTTAGTGGAAACCTGGGAATGTGGGAACTAGAGGAGTTGGAAATGCAGAATGTCCCACAAAGTGAAAGTTGCCTCTTTGGGCAGTCATGGACACTTTGCTGCCCCCTAGTCCATTCTCAACATGGCAGTCAGAGGGATCTAATTAAAATATAACTAGATTGTGCCCCTCTGCCCTGCACTCTGCCATGCCTCCCATCTCCCTTGGGAGGTAAAGCCCAAGTCCTTCCAAGGTTGTAAAAGGCCCCCACATGATCTGCCCTTTCAACCCATTTATGAATCACCCCCTCTCCTCCTGTGCACCCTACTCCAGCTAGACTGGCCTCCTTCCTATTTTTGGAATACACGCTGTCCCCAATTAGAGCCCTTGGCATTCTCTGTTCCCTATGCTTAAGAAGCTCTTTTCCCAGATAGCCCCCTGGCCAAAACCCCCACCTCCTTCAAGGCTTCCCTCAAACATTACCTTCCCCTAGAATCTGAAAATTCAAACCTCAGCCCAAACACTGTTACCTTTATGTTTCTTCTATAGCACTACTGCCTGCTACCTACTAACCTATGCTATAATTAATATAATTAATTATTATGATTTCTGCTGGTCTTCTACAACTAGAAGTTAAGTATGTAACAACACTTAGAACAGGGCCTCCCTAACATACAGTGGGTACTCAATAATGAATGCGTTCATTTATTCTGTCATCATTGGTTAGCACCTGTTGTGTGCCAAACTCTGTGCTGGGTAGATGCCTGAGAATTTCCCGAACCCCAACCCCAAGAGAGAGGCATGGAATCACAACCACAGTTAGAAATGATTCTAGAGATGTGGCTGAGAATGGAGGCAGCACATAGAGGTGGGTAGTTTCACCTCTTTTAAGAGTGGTTGCAGTTCAAAGGGGGCTGCTTCAGCTAAATCTGGAAGAATAGGTGGCCAGGGAGAGGGCAATACAGTCAGAAAGACCCTGGGGTGAAGTGCTGGGGGAGAGGCTGAGCAAGGAGGAGCTGGAAGAAGCCTGGAACAGCAGGCCAGAGGCTCGGGCATTTTTCTTATGGCAGGGAAGTAACCTGGTCAGGCCTGGTTGGAAGTGGACTGAAGGGGTGGGACCAATGTTGGAGATACTTGAGGCCACCACCTTCTTCTTGCCAAGTTCAGGACAGCCCAGTGAGGGTAGAGGGAGGGTCCTTGATAAGGTGTGAGGGTCTAAGACGAGGCCTGGGTGGTGCTGAGGTGGGCCTGAAGGAGTAATGGCTTTGGGACAGAAGATGCTGGGCCCTTTTGGCGCACGCAGCCTCAGTTCTGAGAGCGGTGGGGTCCCTGTCCAATGCCTTTTCCCCTGACTTCCATTTTTATTTTAATTCACAACTTGGCATTTTCAATACTACCTTGCCTTTGGGGCAATATGGCTGACTCCTGGGCAGCCCACACCCTCAGATAGGCCTATTCTACCCTCGAACCATAAAGAAACAGGCTTCCTGCTGAGCAGTGCTGAGCTTTTCCATGTGGAGAGCATCTCCACCAAGGAAGCAGGCTGTAGGGTGGAATAGGGTCGGATCCAGTGGCCCAAGTGGAAGAGGACAAAGCACTGGGGTGACAGACCCACAGGACCGGACACTGTCCTGGGCCTCAAGCAGGCCACCTCATCCTCTGACCATGCACACAGGCACAAGGGGACTCCACCTGGCGGTTTGGTAAGTCATCTTTCCGTTGATCACAGATGGAGCCAGTCTCTTCCAGCACTTCCTGGATTCCTACCAAGTCATGTTCTTCACACTTTTTGCCCTGTTGGCTGGGACCGCTGTCATGATCATAGGTGAGGCAGACTACATTGTGTCCCTTGGATTGCTCCTCCGTCCTCACCCTGCTCTAACCAGCCACCTTTGTGGTCCTGCAGCCTACCACACAGTCTGCACCCCCCGGGAGCTCACCACATCGCCAGCCCTCTCCCCACGAGCCAGCCCTCGGCACAGCCCCCACTGTGAGTAGCCACCCCGAGGGCATAGCCAAACAGAACTGGAATGAAGGAGAGTGGTTCTGGGGGAAGAGATGAGGGTTGAGGCCCTGAACCCCAAGTCTCAGCAGGCATGGCTCTGGTCAAAAAGGAATAGCCAGGCATGAGGCCCAGAGGGCAGGTCTGGGAACTAGTGGAAATCACAAGGCCCCGATGCCAGTCCTGGGTCCTGGGTCCTTGGCTAGAAGAGCTTTCCCCAGACAGTTGGCAGCAGGGAGCTCTGTCCCTGCAGGTGTGCATGCTAGGACTGGTTTCCATTTGCTGGGGCTACTGTCTAAGGTGGGACTGGAATGGCTGACTCAGAGATGAGGATTCTGGGTAGTCTTGATGAGGGAGAAGAATGGCAGGGCTCATTCCTCATAACAGTTCAGTTGTCTCTGGTGGCCGCCAGCCCCTGGCGACCCTGTACAACTCCAGGGGGCACCCGTCTCTGTGAGTGGTGTCCTCTGAAACTGCAGTGCCCAACCTATACAGCTATACATGGTGGGCCTTATGTCTCCTGATTCCCATTCAAATGTTATCTCCCCCAAACAAGGGATCCTTGAGCTGGTGTCTGCTGACCCTATAGGGTTATGGCCAGGCCTCAAGGGGTCTGTGAATTTTTTAGCAGAGAACACAGTTTTGTATATTCTCCAAGGTGGCAAGTTCCCACCTTCATCCTGGATCTCTAGGATCATAGCCTTCTACCAGGCTGCCTCTTAGGCCTGTGAACTAACACCCAGTGAAAACCGTGGAATGCTCATAGCTCATTTCCCTTGTAACTCTGATATGTTAACTAGCTGTCGTCACAGAGGCACTCACACTTTCTGACTACGTCTCTCCACTCATCCCTTCCCATGTTTGTTGGAGCCACACCAGTTTTCTCTGCCCTAAAGGCTGTTCCTGCCCAGTTAGATAGCCCCCTCCTTGCGTGCCTCTTGGAATGGATGCTTCCATGCCATCCTGAGACTCGCTGTTCGAGCTCAGGGAGGTCAGGGGTCACACACCAGGATTCTCTGCATGTTCAGCCTTTGTTCCTTCCCTCTGAGGGCCAGCTCAGCAAGTCCTTTGAGTATGCCCCTCTAATGGCCCAGGGGTACCTGGAGGCATAGTTAGCAAGGCATCTAATAAACGTTTGTTCAGAGGAAGCTCTGAGAAATGTCCCTGACCCTTGTGTTCTTGTTCACTTCATCTCTTTCCACCCTAGATTTTGCTGCTCCATCACCTCCGATGCCTTTCAGTGCACTGCCTCCTGGTCGCAGAGCCAGTCCTCCTTCAAGGCTGTGGAGCCCTGCATACACCTCTCACTAGCGAGCACACCGCAGAGGCCCTACTGCTCCTGTGCCTCCATCAGGTCCAGCCTGGAGCAAGCCCCCTGAGCCTGGCCCCAGCCCAATCTCACTGCCTCCTGTGTTCTTACAGACTTTTAGTTTAGAATTAACTCATTAGCTTAATCTTATATATTAGAGTTTGTTTGTTTTACTTCAGTCTTGCAAAGGCTAAGATTTTCCGATTCATTCATTTATGCCTAGTTGTCTAGGGTTTCTGGACAATGTGCAGTTATGCTTTTATTTTCTTAGAGTCTCTAAAATTACTCCCTTCTCAAGACTTTGAGCAGGCAGAGCTCTGTTTAGAAATTGTCTGTAGTTGATATTACTGCAGTGGTCTCAGGGAAAGGACTTTTTGATTTGTGTGTCTATGTGGAGGGAGGAGAGGTTCCCTGTGGAAACTTTGCTTTACCCCTGATTTGGCTCCTGCTAGGAAACGAGGGGAGTGATTGGTGAGTGTGTGATGCCTGCCCCATGACTGCACAAGAAACCTCAGAACCACAGTGACTGGGACCTCTTGTAGTCTCAGCATCATGGGAAATGCTGAGACACTGCAGGAGCTACCAGCCAGGCTGCTTTTTGCCCCTCTTCAGGCCACTGCGAATAGACTGCTGGCCTCTGTGTTTCTTTGTTTCCTAAGCTGTGGAAACATCTCCTGGACTTGGCCTCGGCCCCATGGCGACATCCCAGCTTCTCTATCAGCACAGCAACATTGGAATATCCTTGAGCCAGAGTCAGGAATCCTCTTTTTGTTCGTTTGGAGAAGTTGCTGTGTTTTGCTCAAGCACAAAGACCCAGTATTATTTGTCCCTCCTATATGACAGTCGCACCTCAGCAGATCTGAGCCTCTCTCCTGCCCTGAGCAGGAGATGCTTCCCAGGCGGCCGCTCATGCGCCCAGAGCCCTCCAGGCAGCTCCCCAGTAGGCAGAGCCCAGTGGGGCCAGTGAGGAGGGTGGGTCAAGCTGGGTCCTGCAGACCCCCACACCAAGAAGAGACTGGAGAGGAGAAGACAACTGGGAAAAGTCCTCCCTCCTTCCCAGCTCCTTGCTGGCTCAGCAGCTGAGGCCTGTAGCACACGGCCCTCTGCCTGAGGTCAGGAGTCCTGCCGCTCTCAGGAAGACCTGGAGACTCACTCCATGGCTCATGCATGAACGAATGTCTGGGGAGTCTAGTTTGACTGAGCCGCAAGTGTGAATCTACTTCAGTCCTTTTGGGCTGGTCCATGTGATTTATTTTTATAAAGCTGGAGACAAGAATTGTGCCTTGCATATTACTTGAGCTCGAACTGACAACTTGGATATAAATAGGCATATTTCTACTTGGTTTGTTTAATAAAGCTCACTATAATTTCTTAAGAAGTGCATGATCATTGCCAGAATTGCATGTGTCCTGCCTGGAAGTGACCCAAGCACTGGTGACTTTGCTTCTGGTTACGTGGATTTGGGGAGGCGGTCTCTTCTGCCACCCCTTGAACCTTCTGCACCACACCTCCCTTCTACAGATAGCCATCAATGCCTTCCTCTCACCTCTGAGAGACCAGCCAGTGGCTAGGGCAGGTGGGCATGGTATCTTCCCAGGACTACCAGTGCAGGGCCCCCACAGGGTGCCTTCCCTGTATGAGAACATAGCAGCCCTGCCCACTCGTTCACATGTCACCTAATGTCAGCTCAGCCTTCGCTCTTGGGTACCTCTCCCTCTACCAGGCCCACTCTCTTTTGAGGCTGATCCCCCAGTCACCAGCACCTCTGCTAGGCTGCTCCTCTCGCTTACCTCTACAGCCTGGATACCCTTCCTTGTTATTAACTCTCCCTGCCTTGTGGGCAACTCCTCTTCTGCTGCCCTATCTTACCTCCCCAGACCCTTTCCCTCTGTTCAATTGCTCATGGCCCACAGGGTTGGTCCTTTGCCAGCCCGCCCACCCCCACTCGGCCCCCTAGTGCCCCTTTCTGCCTTCACACAGACATCCCGAGAGGCCCATGAGCCAGCTACTTTTGGTGTCCTTGTCACAGATGTGGGAACAGATGCTTAGAGAAATGAAGTAGCTGTTCAAGGTCATTAGCCACCTAAAGGCACCTGTGATGGAGACCAGTTGTCTCTGACATCACTCTGCCTTCTTCCTTAGGATCCAAACCCCTGACTGGGAGTGGGGCAAAGAGCAGCCAGAATATACACTACATTTCTTAGCCCCTTTTGCTGCTAGAAGCAACATGCCATTATGTTTTAGGCACTAAACGAGCAGCAGTGTGAAACAGTCTCCTGAAGAGAGGCGGTGCCCTCCTCACCTCTGTCCCTTCCTCTGAGTGAGCAGACCAGGTGGGGGTTCCATCTAGCAAGGACAGTAAAAGGCCACCAGAGTCACTGGGTCATTGTGACCATGGAGCCTGCATCCCAACCAAGGATGGCCTTCCTTGACAGGAAGGGTACTCTCATTGGCTTCATGATCAAGTGGGTCTTCCATCACAGCCAAACCTAATCCCACTGATTCAATGGCTGCGCCCAAATGCAAGCACAAACAGCCCAGCCCTCACTGCTCTGTGCCCTACTCCTACAGGCCACGCCCATTCGTTCAGCTACCTCTTGGCCAGAGCTTTCCTTTCAACACTATGGACTCACTTCTGCACTACTGAGGTCCCCTCCTCAGATCCTCTTCACCCCATTCCCTACATCCAGCCAGTTTCCAAGTTCCCATGAACCCATCCTCTCCTTGTCTCCTCATCTGTTTGGCCTTCCATTGCCCTCTTCTCAGCCCAGAGACCATCTCCCAGGGATAAGGTACTGGCCTCCCTGTACCAGCCTCTTATTTTAACGGCCCTCATGCCCCCTGTCCTACTGCTGGCATTTTGACTGTTGAACCCCACCCCTCACTAAACTCCATAGCCCTGCCTGTGGGCTGGGTGTGACTCCTTCAGGTCTAACTGACCCTTTGTATACTCCTAATAAACAACGGTTTCCCAAATAGGCTTTGCCCACTTTATCTCTGCTCTTTGTCCTCAGGTAGAAACTGCCTTCAAGGCCTAACGCATCCTCCCATACCCCCTCAACACACACCCAGCTTTGACATCAGACACAGCTGGGGTCAGGTCCTGGAGCCACCGTTTCCTGCCTCTGCACTCCTGCTCTGGTCTCTCCCACTCTGGGCTTCAGTTTTTTCCTCATTGAAATGGGCATAGCAGTGCCTACAGAGTTACTGTAAAAATAAGCGAGGTACCTTATGCTAGGCCTTTCTTTTGGGCAGTGGGTTGGTGAGTGGGAGTGTCCTTTTCTGGTAGAAGTGGCTGATCTGACTCTCAAGAGGGGAAGGTGGGAGAGGGTGAGGAAGAGGCCTCAGCTCTATGTGAAAGCCTCTGTGGGTCAGGGAGGAGGCCGGATCCTGCACTGAGAGCCCTGGGGAATGGGAGATAACGGGCCAGAAGTGCTTGGGGGAACAAGTGATAACTTTAGGATGCATAAGCCCTGCCACACTAAGAAGCTAAATGCAGAATCTAAAAAGCCCCCCTAGGCATTGTCACTGCCCTGGTCCTGGTTTCCTTGACTGGAAGGGGAAGACACTTTTCTCATGAGGATTCTGTGAGGATGAAATGAGCTAATAAATGGAAGGTGCTGCATCCACATATGCCACTATCACTGTTGTTGGGGAAAGCTGGCACAGGGGCCCATGAGTCCAGATGGAGAGAAAGCATTTGTTCATATGATGATGAGATGGAGAGACAGCAGGTGAGTGGGAGGGAGGGCACTCCTCCACCCCCTGGACCTCTTGTCATTCCCCATGCTGTGCTGCCACGTCTGACCTTACTTCCCACCCACAGCTGGGACCTCCTCGAGGAAAGGAACAGGCTTTATTCTACCATGTCCCCTGGATCTGGTGCATAGGAAGACATTCGACCAATGTCATGTTCATGGGGCCTGCCTGGTGCACAGTTGTTTTGCCTACTCTTGAGTCATCTCCAACTCCAGGAGACTCTAAATGAGTGATATCCACAATGTCCTGTCCTCAACATCCCTGCTCAGCTCCTGTAGACTCATGTCTATGGCTTCTTTTATGGAATAAATCCATCTCATGTTTGGTCTTCCTCTTTTCTTGCGACTTTTATTTTTCTAGCAATATTGACTTTTCCAAAGAATGCTGCCTTCTCATGATGTCCCTGAAGTAGGGCAGCTCCAGTTTTGTCATTTTTGCCTCCATGATGTTCCAGGCTTAATTTGCTCTAAGATCCAGGGTATTCGTAGAGCTCTCCTCCAACCCCATATTTCAAATGAATCGATTTTTGTTTTCTATCAGCCTTCTTCACTGTCTAACTTTCTCATCTATACATAGTAATTGAAAATACAAGGGTGTGAATAATTTAAGCCTTGGTCTCTAATGGCACATCTTTGCTCTTAGTGATCTTTCCTAATTCTTCCATTGCTGCCCTTCTAAGTCTCAGTCTTGTCTTGATTTCTTGGCTGTAGTCTCCATTTGAATTGATGACTGAACCAAGGTAAGAAAAATCTTTAACAACTTCATACTGACCACACAGCACTCAATAAATGTCGGCATTGCCTTCAGGCATGCCCCCTCAGTGACACAAGATGGCTGCAAGGATCCAGACATCACATCACATCAATACATGGCAGTGTCCATAAGAAAAGGAGCAGAGAGCCAAAGCTCTCCCTATTTCCTTCTAAGGACTAAAGACTTCTTTCCCAGAAGGCTCCTTAGTAGACAGCTCCCATTATATCCATAGCCGTGGTTGGCTCATGTTCATTTCTAGCCTATGGCTAGTAAGGGCAGTGGGATGATCATGTCTATGTATGTAATGCTTCAGGGTTGACTGGATGTCAAGATATCCACCCCCTCTACTTCTTTCAGATAAAAATAGGTCTCAGTATCTGCCCAGTTTGTTTTCTCTCTAATGATTACATTTTCTCTTCTACCCATCTTGGATATGCAGAGGCTTGACAGAGCTGGAGAGATAACCAGCTGCAAGATGAGAGGCCTGGGCTTTCTTCTCCCCAGAGGTGACCATCATTTTAAAGTACATTTGAGGATGGCAAATGCACATGCTGCGAAAGGTAGCCAGACCTTCCCCAAAAGGAGTGCATTGATAAAACCAAGTAACTTGCAGTATGGTTCAGTTTTCTATTCCCAAACTAACCAAGCGACTTTCTCTCTCTAAAGGATGCCAAAAAATGCTTTTAGCACCATTTAATGCTAAAAATATAATATTGCATATGGATTTTTTCTCCAGAATTCCTAAGTTTAGCCAAAAATTAACTCTCTCCCTCGCTTTCTCATTCTGGAAATGTTACATCTCAAAGTCTGATATACCAGCAAGGACAGAGAGCCCAGAGCCTGGGGCATCCAGGATGAGTGGCAAGGGTCTAGTCTGGTGGGAAATTAAAATCATTTTAACTCTCTGGGCCACAGTAGTTCTCTTATTTGCAAAGAGGCCAAGCTAACATCTGTCCTGCCTGCCACCCAGAGTAGCTCCCATTATTATTCCAGCCCTTACCCTCCCTACATGCACATCCTCTTCCATGTGACTTTGCAGTGCCTCCCATTAGAGGCTGAGTGTATTCCCCCCAACCCATGAAAGTTGGCTGTGATCATATCACTTGCTTTGACCAACAGAATGGGAGTGAGTGTCAGTTCATATCACTTGCTTTGACCAACAGATTATGGGAGTGAGTGTCAGTTCAGAGCCTAGGCTTAAAGCGACCTCATAAATTTCCACACATTTCTTGTGCTTCTGCCATTGACAATAATAAAAAAGCCTAGGTGGATGCTGGTCCAAGGAGGAGGAAAGACACCTAAAAGGGGCCTGAAATGATCCATGCCCATCCTAGGTCAACTGACCTATGGAACCACAACCATGGAAATAAATGATGGTTGTTAAAAACCACTGACTTGGGGGATGGTTTGTTAGGCAATGTTATTATGACAGAGACTAATACAAAGTGTGATATGGATTCCTTTCTGTCTGAACCCATGGAAGGCAAGTTTTCTGCCACTTGTCACAGAGTCTGATTGACAGCTGGGCCCTGGGGTGGGCCCCCTCCCTTCAGCCTATTCAGTCCTGAGCCTTGCTGAGCTGCCCTCTCAAGCCCATCCTTTTGGGATAGGATTTCCTGGGTGCCCCTAGCAGAGGCTGGAAGGGCACTGGGTGTTCAGAACCCAGGTTAAATGCACAGGCAAGAGCCTCTGAGGACAAAGGGCACAGGAACACTGTCTGATACAGGGCCTTCCCCTTCCTGAGCTCCAATTTCTTTCTTCTTGGAAGAGGCCACAGTCAGCACATACTTGAGGCTTCCATGAGTGAGGGTTGATGGAAATGCCGTTCTAAAATACTCCTTGCTCCATCACTACTGAGGTAAACCATC